AGAAAGAAAGAAAGAAAGAAAGAAAGAAAGAAAGAAAGAAAGAAAGAAAGAAAGAAAGAAAGAAAGAAAGAAAGAAAGAAAGAAAGAAAGAAAAAGAAAGAAAGAGAGGCAATTTACATGTACAGAATTTATCTAGTCATATTGCAGATCGGCCAAGGCATCTGGTTAAACCAACTTCAGCATCCCATTTCTATAATTCTGGGGCTTTTTTTCCCCTACCATAGGATGAAAAGATGTGCTCCTTTTCATTCTGAAAAGAAACTGGGACCCTTCAGCTTGAAGAACCTGTTCTACACCCTAGGGGATTGTGAACTCCTTTGCATAAAAACTGAGGCCATTGAGCAAGACTCTGGCAAACAGTATCCTGGATAAAAGCAGATTGTTATGTTGGCACCAACTGGCTCAGATTTTATCAAAAGTAACTTAAAGGGGATGGAGAAAGAGGCAACAGAGGAAAATACTTTTTTTTAAAAAAAGGATAAACCTCGCAATCCCTGGCAGAAAACATTCAAACAACGTTCATTTTGCTTGGAAATTTATGGATGAAACCTTGCAGAAAAATTATTGTTTAACTGTGATGGTGACCATATTTTTAGTACCAATATTCATTGAGTGCTTTTGTTTTAAAAAAGGATGTGTATGGTAATGTTTGCCCCATTACCTAAGCATATCTGCAGGTAATGATTTGATAGCATTTGATAGCTCTTGCTTTCAAATCCACGTACATAACCATTATTCTAAATACTCCAGTCATGTAAGAAGCAATAATGGACAATATTATATTGCGAGATCTCTTTCAAGCAACTGAACTGGAATACAGAAATCATGTGTAACATGGCTACATAAATACAATTATCTAAGATAACTCAGAATAGAAGCCAACAGGATTAAGTACAGGATTCATGCAAATAAGTATCACTGAGATAAAGAGAAAATTTTAGAAAAGAACTTTTAAAAGAAACTCAATAATAAAAGAGAGTAGAACTTTCCTCACCAGTTCAAGTCATGCCTCAAGTAATTTCTGCTCTAATTTCCAATCTCCTAAAGTTCCTCTTATTAACACACACACATACACACAAGCACACACACAGGGATTCCGCTAGTTTGTGTGTATGTGTGTGTGTGTGTCTCTCTCTGAATGTACACCATGGAGTTACTTCCTACGTATCCAAAGTGAATAAAACATCAACAACACACAAAGATTTTAAGGCATCAAACACAGCCTTGTTCCAATCTCAGAATCAATGTAGTGTTGTAATTAAGCTGTTGGTGTACCTCCCTACTCAAACAGGATGAGATTTAACAGGGAGAAATGTGAAAGCTTGCATTTGGGGAGAAAAACTGGTTTCCTTATATCACTTAATCAAGCCATGCTAGGTTGGCCACTCTGGAAGACAGAGCCCTGGATTATTTGGACAGTTGATCTGAGCAGTAAGTCATAGTTCTTAGGGCCATTGTGAACCATGCAGTTTCTTTTCAGGTCAAGGTTAACAGATGATCTTTTTAATCTGTACATCTCAAGCTTTGTTTATGGTTAAATATTATTGCTTTAATCAAACAGATTTACTAAGCACGAAGTGTTCCTGGTTTTTTTTTTTTTTTTATGAATTCGGTCAATAAATGATAATCTTCCTGTACCAGCCACTTTCTGACAGTGTTCGTACCTCATTCATAAATATCTTTTGGCCACATCGGGTAAAAAATGAACTTCTAAAACAAGAGGTAGTATTTTTCTTATTATCAGATGCTGATTTTCTGTGTGATATTCTCTTCGATTGCATCAAAGAGATTTCTGTCCAGCAAATCAGCATGTAAAATTAGAGGAGAATTGATCTTTGGCAATCTTACTCTACCATTCATATGCCAAATAAATGATAAACATAGAGTTGGTCTGTTGAGCCTTCCTGCCTTGTGATAATGTAGTCCAACACATTTCAATGACAGAAGGTTGGAGAACCTTGACCTAGACTGAATTGATGAGCAGGGATCTGGGTATTTATTATGTTTTTTAAAAAATATTTTTTATTGAAAGTTTTTATTTAATTAAAAGATAAACAAGAACCATCGAATAAAAGAAATATAGAAAAAGAAAAAAGAAAAAATGCTGGAAATAGAGAGAAAAACAGAAAAAGCAGCTTCCGATCCTCTTTGCAGCAGTTACAAACTTTTATAATTTCTCCCCCTACATTATATAGTTCCCTTCTTCCCATATTCAACCCCTTTTAATCAGCAAACCCCAAAATCACCAGTTCATTTTTGTCCATTTTCAGCAAAAAGTTCATAAAAGGTTTCCAGTCTTTTATAAAAGTACTCAGTGTTTTGTCCATAATCAAACAGGTCAATGTTGCCATCTCTGCAAGTTCTGCCATCTTCACAATCCACTCCTCCCTTGTGGGTACGTCTGTATTTTTCCATCTTTGTGCATATAGTAGCCTTGCTGCATTTACCATATATGGATATTTATTGCCTACAGTAGCCTGTTCTCCTCTGGTGCCAACCTGCTGGATTGGGCTTCTGAACCATGAACTTCCAACCTACAGAGAGGACATTGATATGGGAATGGCTGATTTGCCTATTGCACTTTAGGTACCTCTCTGCATGATAATAAACAAATGTTCAGGATGAGAAGCCTTCTAGGACTGTTTACCAAATCCTAACTATGCATCCAAACCTAAAGAGTTTAAAAATGCAGAATAGTCAATGCCTTTTTCATTTTCTTTTCTTTCTTGGCATCTGACAGCCGTGTAGCAGCGAGCCTTACAACATGACTATACCACTCTGATCAAAGCCAAAGCCATTGTGGTATAATTTAAACCATTATTTTATTTAAAAATTGCAACAATAATAGTAATAATAGAAATTATATGTTCTACTGTGAGAAAGAATGCTTGAAGGTTTAATTCCTCCCACTCTTTTCCTTAACGTTTTATGCCCTGAAATGGCTGCAGCCTCACGATAATTCATTAGCCCCTGATCGTGTAAATGTGGCATTTGCGTAATGAGCTTGCATGGAAGAACCCACAGGTGAGGGTTTAATGAATAGCTTGCCAGGGTGGTAAGAGAAAGGGATGGCTGTACACCTCGGTGAGATAAGCTTGTGGATTGCTATGGTTACTGACTCTTAAATCTTGATTCCCAGACAGAAATACATTTACAGCAGCAACGGCCATTTTAAAAAAGCCTGTCCCATTCATGGCCTTGGGTGAATTGAGCCTGGGGCCAGAGAGGGGATTAAAAACCCTCCTCATCTGAGAAAAAGAGAGAAATGCGGGGAGGAGGGGAGATACAGTGTTATACTGTTTGCTTCTATTGAAGCTCTGTCTGGGCCAAGTGCAAAGAGATCACACATATCCTCCCTTGTGCAAGGCATCCAAAAGGTACAATTATTGTTTTGGTGTTGAAAATCAGATAGATTGAAGATGGGAAGGCTGCTTGATGGGCTTGTCTTTTGAGTCAAGTGAGGGTTTGTCTTTTGTCAAGTGAGGGTGGCATAGGTTCCCACCCTGCATTTCCAGGGATCTCCATTCACAGGGCAAGAAGAAACTCTATGAACCACTAGAAATCACTTTTGAAGTCTAGACATCCTGACAATTGCTGAGACAGTGTTTCTTGAACACCCCCTTAAAAAATAAAGATGCCTTCCCATCATTTAATCCTGGCTGCAGGATTCAGCTAACAACATTCGTTTAAGTTTTTTTTCCAACTTGCTGAGTATAACGATAAGAATTATTTTAAATAATCTGTCCAATTTAAATAGAAAAACAGGAAGCTGCTTTTCAATCTGAAAAAAGAGAGAAGGAATATTTTGACATGAACTTGCTTTAAATGGATGGAAAGCCTGCAATGCTCCCACTAATATTTTAAAAAATCTGCAGTAGTGTATAATTCCTTCATGCATTTCAAACCAATGATTGGATTCAAAAACTGTGCTAAAGCATAGTCTGGTTTGGGCTTGGTATGTTGTATGAACCCCACCTTCATGGGTTATTCAGCAAGCAATGAGTAAAACATATGCTTTAGTATGTGTGAATCCAGCCAAAAGGAAGCATCCAAAGGATGTAACTTTGAAAATAGATCAGTTGAAGTAGGGGATGTGTTTGGCATTTCAGAAACAATTCACTTTCTCTGCTGAAGAGCCGCCGTCTATATGTCATGGAGATTCTGTACGCTCCAGAGGATTCTGGAGTATGTGGTGGAAGCACCCCTAGGCCAAGCTTATGGGTTTTTTCCTATATGAGATATTTTAGTTTTCTTTTATGCTATTTTCCCAAGATGGAATGCAGCAGGACCGGCCTATACAGTGTAATTTTACAAGTGAGAAAGTCCATTTTGGAATGGGGTAAAGATTGCAGAACAAAAGAGAGCAAGATGGGTCTATCATCTGTCTGTCTCTGCAGCAGAAGGAGAGAGCTGGGAAGCAAGACCACACTGCTGTCTCTTCTGAGTGATGAGCTTCATTCCCAGGACCCATGATGTGAAGTGGGTTCTTCTAATTAATATAAGATAGCTAATTGTTAGTGCCTGAATTTTGTTGGTTTACTCTTCCTTCACCCCCAGTCTTTGCCTCATGGGAAGGAATTGCCTTATTTTTATCACTTTTATATAAGTTACTCAGGAAACTTTTTTTTAAAGATAAAAAGTAGGATAATATGCTTTTAAGAAATAAAGCCAGCCAGTCAGCCTAGAAAGACTTGTAACCTGAGTATGCTCAGCATAATTCAATAAAAATACTGCATTATAGATCATTTAAAAACTTTTTTTCCCCTCAAGGATTCCCAGTAAAAGGTGATGATACCAGTCTGGTTGATTCTCTTGATATCTCCAGCCTGCCCAGGTAGGGAGATCCGTTATTCCAGCTTCTTGTCCTTTTAACTAGCTATGCAGTCATGCAATCTGGATCAAGGGGAACGGTTTACCCGGACCTAATAAAACTAACAAAGCCAACTTCTAGATATAAACATGATTTTGTTGGGAGTAGAGTACCATAAGGAAAACAAGAAAAGGCAGAATTTTCAGTAAAATCACCTAGTTAAACTGGTTACTTACATTTTTCTTGAATAAGCTCTTAGGTTTCACTGCAGAAAGAATGATTGGAGAGTGGTTGTTTGGGGCCTCCTGTTTGGAAGTCCACAGGCAGGCCCTTTGTCATCTTGCTATTTTCTCCTAAGCATTTATTTTCGGTTGACAACCCCCAGGTTTGGCCTAGTCCAATAGTGCCCCCTAAAGTAGCTGATAAGTTGGTCCCATGCTAAGAGGCCTAAAAAGATGGGTCTCAGTTTTTCTCTTCCAGAAAAGCATCTCCCGTGTAATTCTTATAAAGGAGAAAATGGACAAAACCCAGCCCATACGTTCCATCCAGGGTCATTAGGAAGGTGGGTTGAATCTCCGGGCCATTCCTGATTTGTGGGCTAGACGCAAAGTATCAGAAAAGAAGCACTGTCCTTGACTGAACAAAGCCACAATCAGCCTCCCCAAAGAGGTTGCCTTTTGTTTCTTCCCCTTTTCAATTAGACAGGGGAGAAGAGCTAAGAGAGGAGGCGAGAGAGATTAACAAGAAGGATCTTCCTACAAGCAACTACCACAAGCCCCAAAGCTCTCTCTCCCATCTTCCTCTCTACAATGGTTATGTGCTGTACCCAAGACCTTATTCAAGGAGGTAATTAGTAAATATTTTGAAATTCTGTGTTTGTGTGCTGTCTTCCCTTGTTTTCCCTATATTTCTCTTTTCCCAATAAACTCTTTTGAATATTTAGAGAGTTGATTTCATTGATTCAAAAAAAAGGGAATTTATTACAATCTTCCCCACATGGTTGCAGTTATCCCCTGGGTTTCAGCACCTTCCTTTTGATTTACCTAAAGCTCATCTGAAGGCAAAAGTCTGTGGTAGAAGGGCAAGGCTCCCAAGTAGAAAGAGGTCAGGAAGTTCAGCTGGTCTGATGGCTGCTACAGTAATTTTTTTTGCTGGATATCCCTGGGGAACAGATATCTGCCAGGAAGGTTCTAAATTTTCTTCCCTCCTGGCTTGCAACACCATCAGCGGAGATTGCCAGCCCCACAGCTCCAGAGGAAAAGCTGCAATACTATCTCTGCCATGTTTCTGCTGGAACAGCAGCCGAGCTGGAGGTTAATTGGCTCCACTGCTCAAGACCCCCAAGAGGAATGGCATCCTGGGAACATGGGCACAGCGCAACGGGTCTCAGTCCAAATTCTGAGAAGGTAAAGCTGTCTTATTTGTGCTTTATATAAATGTTATTTGTCTGTCCTTTCTGCATTGAGATTAGTAGTCAGAGTGGTTCATTTTCAAAAAGGAAGTAAAACACACTTTCAGTATGTTCTAATGACTTGTCCTGTCCATGTGTACTTAAGCTACTTCTTTGAAGAAGAAATATATTTTGCAGGACTCGAAGATAATGATTATATTATATTAGGCCAGCGCTGACAAATATGGTTTGAAAAGACAAATCAGATTACGAAAAAAAGAGTCTATGTCGGAAGGGCAAAATTGATATAGAAAGCAATTAATTTGGGGGGGGTGCTTTTGGAGTCTCCGTTTAAAATGAGGAAAGAAATACAAACAGGGTTACTTGAACACTGCAGCCAATCTGATTAAATTGCTGGCTTTACACTTACATGGTTTTCTAATGCTCAGCTTACAAAATAGAGTGGAACGTGCTTCTAACTAAATGAGCTGAAGATCACAGAAGCAAGCATCTTCCCTTCATCAAAAAATTTGCAAGACATCCAACTTACCTGAAGTTCAGCCAGGTTGACCTGATAATCATATTCGCATTCCTCTTTAAATCTTCCTTGCAGTAATAGCTTTTTAAATTAAGAATCCAAATTTTGCCCACACATGATGCCCACCTGCCTAGCACTTTTGAGCGATAGACAGAACGTCAATCTTTTTCACCCACATTAGCAATCATCTGTGAAATGTAACTACTGTATTATTAAAGTCTACTAGCCTTCTATTTAACAGTGATTTAGAAACTACCAATTCCAAATTTGAAAAGTGTGATTGCCCAATAAATATCTGGATAATTTAACTTTGTATTTTAGTCTTTAATAAGAAGAGTTTCATTTATAAAAATAGTACATTGAAAGCTTTGATACACAGAGCTTTGTGCTTTTCTAAATCCTTTTGACTGTATAAATAATAAAGCTTCTCATCATAGTTCATGAAAAAAATGCTGATTTCTCCTGGTGAGACACAGTATCAAGAGGGTCCATGATTCCTTCTAGATCTAGGACAGGGAACTGCACCTGTTTTTCGAACCATCTGGCTACCATGAGAAGCTGCAGCTCATGGAAAGCACGGCCAATAAATTGCAGTCCAATCGGTAAGCCTTTTCCTGAGAGGGCTGAAGGAACACTTACAGCTGGCAGCCCTGAAAGACAAACAAACCTTCCTTTGCATTGTTGGATAAGAACATACAGTACAATAGTAAAATCAAAGCAAAAGCATCTCTCTCGCGCTGTTTCTCTCAAGGCAAATATTTAATCTAGCTTTGTAGCTTCTCAAACTATAATTAACTAACCACATTTTTAAAAAACAACCTCCACTCCTTCTTAAAACATTCCTTTTCTTTTATAGGCATTGCTAACCACTCATAAAGGTTAGATATTTAAATATAATGATTTAACTCCAGATTTTCAGTGTCATAGAATGAATATGGACGATTGATGTAAACTGCCCTTTACTGAGGCATGAGCAAGGTTTCATCATCCAAAAGTTCAAATGCCCTTCCTAACCATTCATAATTATGCCCCTTAGATGAGAGTTCAAAATATACTGAATGTAATTTCTCATTCACGATCCATTAAGTCCTGTTTCGATAAATTAACATAAAAAATCACCTGAAAATGTTTGGATTTTGTTTCCACGTGGGCTTCATCACAACAAATTACCCATTTATTAAGCAGAGCTAGAATTTACTAAATGGGTAAATTCAGCTTAAACCAATCACTTATCTATTTGCCCATACTTACTAATTTAGACAATCCGTTTAATTATAGATACTCAAAGACACAATCATACATAGATCAAGCTTTGGCAAAGTATTGGTGTAACCAAATACCACTGTTGTCCTTGATACAATCCACATATCGCTCCAAAACTCCTCATGGCATAAGCATCACTACCTATTTCCTCCCTCCCTCTTGTTTTGGATTTTTAATTGTTTTGCCTGATCAAGATTATTTGAAAAATTGGAAAAGCAAACATTATTTTGCAAACTTTCAGTTGACCTAATATAGGGATCTACTTAAGCTCGGAGGCATGCCGATTGGCACTGCTTTGAAAAGCTTTTGGGCCTTTTACAAATGGAAGGCACCGATATCAAGGTTAATCACATCTATTGTGCTGCCATTTACAGTGTCATGATGGGAAACTCTATAGTGAATACATTTTTTTAAAGGACCAGGTTGGAAACTTCCATAGTATTGCATAAAGACAACTGCTGTCTGAAACTGATTAATTCAAGAAATAAAGAGTATCTTTAAAACAGTTTTATAAAATTCTACTTTTTTTACCAGCCATGTTGGCAGCCTGAGTGAAGATATCATCTTGTGCACTGCGAGTCCTGTTGTCTTCCTTGATGAATTCGTGATATGACATAGCCTGGTTCAAGGTAGTTGGGGTGAGCAGAATATCCACACCAGAACGGAAGAGTTTTGCAAAATCAGTGGCTATGAGTCTTCTCACTTTCTGAGCTTTGATGAAATAATTGTCATAATTCCTAAGGGTAGGGGGAGGAAGTCCCATAAGAATCAGAAATGTAAAGTGAGTCATTATTCTAGTTTTCCAGCTAGCTAGGCAAGTGGTAGGTAGCTATAAATTGAAGCAGGACATTCGTTTTTCTGAAGCTATTGCTAAAACAAAATCATGAGTCAACACATTGTGATACGGACCTCAACTTGTCAATAGGGCAGCATTCCTTTTAACGCACAGTCTGAAAAGTGAAGTTTATTGCTAAAGATAGACATAAAATACTGTAACAAGCACTGCATCAACTGCAGAGGTAAGTAATATTTTACTGTACTTTGATATATAGTTCTGAACCTTAACCTGTAGCACATGTTTCTCTCAACTATGGTGCCACATATATTCTATTTTTCCAGCTAGCTAGCGGACTATCTCCTTCAACTTCTGGACCTTCTCCATACTGGTGCCCCCTAGATACTTTCATATTGCAGTTCCCCAAATCCCTAACTAATAGGACATCCCCAGATCTTGGACTATTAGATGATTTCTATCATTATCAGGCCATCTCTAACCATCTGGCATCACTCATCTATGCAGCTGAGCCCTATACATGAAAGAGAACATGTTACTGAACTTCAGCTCCCAGCAATGATCACTATTAGCTCTGCTTACTAGTGATGCTGGAAGTTACACTTTAGTAATATCTGGAGGACTGCAAGTTCTTTATTAAAAGAATGGGTGAACTTAGGGGATTAGGAACTACATGCATCCCTCTTTAAAGATATAAAATAACTTTTTGGATATAAATTTTAATTCAACTGAAGATTCCTTTTATTCAGTCACCTTAATGGAGCTGCAAGGGAAGGACTTAGTAATGTTAGAGTTCCCTTAACAAATAAAACAAGTTCTTATCAAAGAGGGAACAAAGGGAAGAAAAAAACAAAATGACCTACTGGATTATGCAGAATTTTAGAATATAAGCATTTTGGCATGTATTACTTCAAAAACCAAATCAGCAATCATAATATTGCTTTAACAAAATGAAAAAATCTGGGCACCATGAGTAATTTCTCCCTTAACTGAACAACAAATAAAATGCTGGCTTTGTAAGTTTGAGCTTTAAAATGTGCCGAACTTACTGTTTTAGCAAGAAGTAGTTCCCTGATAGAATTCTTCCCCTTACAACATCATTAAAACCTTCCCGGCGTGTTGCTGCAATCAAAGCTTCTGTGGACTGATCAGCACTGCTGCGATGTCCTGACGGAGAAGCAATCAGCAGTTGATAAATACATCCCCAAACCATTCAAAGCTATTGCAACTATATGATCCCATTCAGCATAAAAGGCTGTCAAAGACTGATACTCTTATACTTCGTCAACCCAAAAGCTAAACTTTTCACGTGGGTTTAACAGCTGCCATCTGATGTTTAGAAAACCTGAGCTGAACCTTCTTCACCAAACATTCCTGGGCCAAAAAGGATGGTACAAAGAGACCAAAATCCTCCCCCAAAGACATCTAGAATGTTACCTTTTTATGTCTGTTTCTTTTTCCTGATTCTTGCAGAAGAAGGAAAATGATGGAGAGAGCTACAATTAAGTGTAATTCCCATTTATACCTTACCTAGAAAGCTATAGTTAATATACTGAAACAAGCCAGGATGCTTATGCCAACTTTAAACCAGGATTTGAAATCCAGGCTTGTCTAGAACTTTGGTTCCTACTTTGTTTTTCCACATAGACAAAAAGAAATGTGAAATAAATGAACAAGAAATAGGCTTAATCATATTTTGGTTTAATCCAAATGTGATCATCAAATTAAATTTAATTTCCATAGCCCTGTTCAAAAATGTAAATCATGAAAATAATTCTCAAATAATTCAATATACAACCCTTAAAAAAGTATAAAAGAGCTCTACATATACTAGGACTCCATATTTTATCACATGACAATCACTGTGCTATTTCGTAAACATTTAGAATTTAGTATGCCAAAAATTAGAACACCATAAAGCATCAAGCAAACAATGGTTTTGTAACATCAATTGTGCAATGCAGTGTTTTATAAATTGAAATAAATATTTTGAATTCAAACAATATTTCCTAGCTTTGTCATTCTTCTCTTCAGTCTACTGTTGGGAACAGGAATCTGATGGTCAAGGTGTTGAATTGACAGTATTTCAGTGCTCAGAAAACTTAAGAAGCACGAGGGAAAATGATATCAAGCAGAATGATTTTCATTGATCTAGAAGTGCAAAGTTGCTTCAATAACACTGTATTCCCTCATCAGTTAGCCTTGAGTACAGGATCACAGCTGAGCTGAATAGTCTATGTAGTTTTTGTTGCAATCAGATCATTCCTCAAAGGACACAGATTAGACAACATTTCCCTCAAAACAAAAACATGCTTCCAAAAACATAATAAAGAAATTTCCACCATTCATTAAGCCTCAATTAAATCCAGTGAGAGACTTTTCTTGATCTAAAAAGTCTTTGGCACAGACTTAGTCCTTATAATTAAACATTTATTTAATTATTGGTTCAGAGTTGGCTCACTCTTGATAAGTTGTGCGTTTCCCTGGAACTTATTAGTGGATCCTCATTTATTTAATTATCCTCATGCTACGTGATATGATTCACAGACAGGTGTACATAAAAAGCTCAAACATTTCTTTTCATGCAGGTTGATAAATTTAAACACATTTGGCTTTCAGTCTGAATGCAGAATGGTCTACTATTGCAGCTTGCTACAGTTGAAACTTCTCAAGTTAGCAGGGCCTAACTAGGTTATTGGCCCAGTTCTAAATATTCTCTATTTTTATGCCTAAGTGAGATAGTCCAAGACAGGTTACCACAGAGCATTTCTTCTCTAATCCTATTGTATCGTGGTACCGCTTTTCTCCTAACTTCTGAGGCCATTATTTCCAATTATTTCTGTCACTGCTGAGTACCAAATTATCAGAAAATCCATGATCAGAATTATTTTTATATCAGGCTCACTTAAACAAAAAGAGATTGCAGTACAGCTTCCTGGAACAGGATCTGCCTCTGTCTCAGAACATTACTCACATTAATAAAATGTTTCAGTACAAGAGTAAGGAGATGTAGGTTCTTCCTGCTGAAATGTTTAACTTTCCTGCATTATCAACCACAATCTGATTTTATTCACTGTTGACTCTAAGACTCAACCAATCTTTGAACTTCCACAAAAGGCATTTCATGACAACTTTTTGCACATGACAGAATGATTCAAGTTGAGTGGACTAGGGAATACTTAATCAAGAATTATTATTAAATTTTTGCAGGAAAATATGTTCCTCTTTCAAAAAATGTAACACAAGACTGACAAAGATGCTTTCAGTTCTTCAGTTCTTCTCAATTCTGACAAAGTAGATTGACTGCTTGTCAGCACTGGATTTTAGTAAATGCATAATGTGGACCGGCATTATCTACATTATGACATGATAGCTGTTTCTCTTACCTGGTTCATACACTTTTTTGGGGGTGGGGAATTGTACTTGACTCTTGGCAACTACATGGCATGTCTTTGCCATTGTGTCTTTTCTAGGGGTAAGAGAGAGTGACTGGCCCAAGGTCACCCAGCTGGTAGGCCAAAGGAATGACTAGAACTTGGGTTCTCTGTTCATAGTCCTTTAATCACTAGACCAAACTGGCTCTCTCACATACCATACTAAGCCATGATATTATTGATTTGACTTTGGTTTACTGTGTTGTGTGTAACTGGCTATTTTTGTTTATAAATAATGGTTTAGGGCTTATACATTGTGTGAATGCAACCACTGCCACATTGCTGTACCTGACAAGCTTCCTTAGGATTAGGCAGATGAACAAGTCATTAGAAGAAAGAAGGTTGCAAATGAAGGCATGGCCTAGAACTCATATTTTACAGGGCCCGATACTGCCAAATAAATTCTCAACTGAAGAACCAACATTCTTTATAATATACTATCCTTTGCTATCAAGAGTTTTACTACATAGACCTTGGTTGAAAATACAGTAAATGTGAATATTTAAGAGACGGCTTAATATTCCATGGAAAGAAGGCTTACCATACTCCAGACCATCAAATCGAGCCATATTAGAAGCTACATCAGCTGCACATAACACATGGTAACAGACAATGGAATAGGCAGTGTGGGGCAGGCTCACTTCCATCACTTTAGCCCCAGCTTTCTCAAAGAGGTCAGCTGCCCTGGACCACACAGCTAGAATTTCACTAGATAATCCCGCTGCGCTGTATTCCTTGGAAGGAGGGGAGAGGAGGACAAAGCAGAATGTTATGTACAACCAGCAGCATTTCACAGGGTTCGTCTGATCTGATGATGTCAAAAATACTCAAGGGGATTGTGGGATGACAATGCAAGCTCCTCTGTGGGACCGAGAGTGAAATTTCTCTCTGGATTATATTCTGCATTAGGGACTGTTTTCTATACAGGGCAGCTAAGATGTGTCTGAGTCTGGCCCTTAGTCTGATATTAAACTGCAGCCTACCTCAGAGTCAACTTATTTTTGTGAAATGACTGGGAAATGCTGGGATAAGATGGGTAATAGCTCTTGCTCAGGGAACAAGAATGATGATGAGGTTAAGTAATAGCAATTGTCATTATAAGTATGGAATGAATGACAAACAGTGCTAAGAATTTGTTCTAGGACATTTTATAAGCCCCGATGTAAATTAAAAAGCTTTAGAAGAGTATACATCTTCTAAACTGTGGTTTTACTCACAGTTACTCATGCCCTGGTCACCTCTGGAATGGTTTATTGTAACGTGTTCTACAGGGGGCTGCCCTTGAAGAGTATGGGGAAGCTTCAGCTGGTGCAGAATGCAGCTGCATGGACTGTTATGCATGCCCCTAGGATGGTGCACATTACACCTCTGTTCTGAGCTGCACTGGTTGCCAGTCTGCTTCTAGGTGCTGGTTTTGACCCTACACAAGCCCATATTTGAGGGACTGCCTCTTCCCTGTTACATCTACCCATCCCATCAGGTTGAGCAGGAGGGGTATGCTGCAGGTCCCATCTACTAAGGAGTTACATCTGGTGGGACTCAGGTGGCATGCCTTTTCTGCTGTGGCCCCCGCCCTATGGCAGGTCATTCTCCCTGAGGTGAGATTGGGCCCATCCCTAGTTGCCTTCTGGAAGGCCCTCAAGATGTGGTTTTTCCATCAACCTTGGGGATCCCCTGGTGAGCCGGCAAGACGATAATGTGATGTTAAGGGATGGTTGCCTCTCCCGCCGTCTTGAGTTTTTATCTTTTCTGTTTTTCTGTTTTTACTTAGTGTTTTATGATGTTTATTGTTTTTATGTATTGTATACTGCCCAGTCAGGTTTTGTGAGATGGGCAGCTATATAAATTTGTTAAACAAATAAATACATGCTAACTAGAAACAGTAGAAATTTACAAAGCATTTAATATTAAATTAGGTTCTTCTGTTAGACGATTATCAGGCCCAGTGCCAGCCTCTTAATTTGTTGTAACAGATAACTCTGAAGAAAATTACATTTATTCTGTAGAAGTAATAATAGCAAATACATGCTATACAGAAGTAAGCTGTCATTTCAGCTATGTTCCTTATTTCATCAAATAAGGAATATGTTTTTAACAACAGCCAATGCCACGCTCATTAATTCCACATGGTTTTCTTTCTGTAACAGTACAGTGAATTCTTTTTAACAGCATTCATCAATCTAGACACTCTCCAGGTATACAGACTCCAGTTCCCATCATTCTCAGCAATTACCATGTGGCTGGAGATTCTGGAGATAGAATTCTGGAGGTGGTATTCTCTAGGTCTGGAGTGCCCTTGGAGAAATCTATATTTATAAATTTAAAAAAACCCTAATTTCAATTCTCAATTCATTTAAGTAGTGAATGGAAAAGTTATAAATCATAGGCTTTGGTCTTATATCCAGAATTACCTAAAAAAATAAACAGCAGTTCTGAATACCAAAGTTTTGGTTTTGAAATACAGATTTTTTTTTAAGGAAAAAAAAACATTTTGAAAGAAAAATGCCACACGTTTTCTTTATATTTTTCTTGACCACACTGGCTTGTATCCCTTCAGAAGGCAGAAAGATATTTGGAGTTATCTCAATACAATTATTCAAAGATTTCACAGTCCTCTCCAAAGTATTTGGGTGGCAGACATGCAGTACATATTCTTTGTTCCTGAAATATGAGATGGTCATATGACTCTCCCGACACTGTGGACTACAACTTCCAGCATCCATCACCATTGCCAGTAGTGCCTGATGCTGCTGGGAACTTTAGTAATATTTGGAGACACATCTGCCATAAAGGGGGAAAAAAGCCCAAATTTCACTTTCATTTCAGCAAATGATGCTGAATCAGTACAGACGATCAGCACAAAACTGGATACCAAATAATAATACATTCAATGTTGTATTCCTTAAATTAGGAATGGAGAACCTGTGTTAGGGAATTCCCATTAAACTCCCACCACCCTTTACTATTCATCACCTTAACTGAGGCCAGCAGAAGCTTCAGGGCTTGGAGAGGCACAGGTTTTCTATCTTTTATACTGGCTTTATTACCTTTGTAGGCGGAAAACATGAATCAAAGGTAGCAGGATATGCTCACATTTTAATTTTAGTAGACTCATAATCATACACCAGTTTACCTTAGGTACCCCAATGCAAAAATTCTTCATGTCTATCAAGTTAGGTAGCTGAAATGGACAAAAGGGGTCTTGCACTGTGGTTGAATCTTTTGGGTCATGCCCACCAAGGACACCTGAAAGAAATGGAACGGCACATGAGATAACAAGAAAAGGAGACCTGGTGAACTAAACTAGTTTGGGACAAATGCCTAAGGAAATATATAATTGTTGTACCTAACATAGCAGCTGCATCATCAACACATCTGGTTAAAATGCCTGGCACATCCATCGAGTTCACAAGCGGAATGAGACCATAGCGGGAAATGAGGCCATAGGTGGGCTTCAGACCGACAACGCCGCAGAGGGAGGCTGGATTTCGTGTGGAACCTCCTGTATCAGATCCCAGAGCCCTGTGATTGAGTAACAAAACATGGGAATCAGAAGCAAACACAAAACTGCATCCCATTAGGTTCTCCTTTTCTATCTGTTTCTGAAAGCCATTTTAGAATGAACGAATGAATGAACAAATGAATGAATGAATTTTCCTTCTATTTAACTCCTGGTGACTTCATGGAGTTTTCTAAACAACAGTACACAGGTGCTTTACCACTGCCTTCTTCTAGGACATATATATATTTTATTTTCATTGCACCCTGCTGCTCTGAAATTTACTGATGGCCTCCTATCCAAGAGCTAACTATGCCTGACCTGGCAAGACTGCCCAGGTATTGCCATCTGCTGAGGCTGAAATAGACAAGATACACTTAAAATGTGTTGTGTCCAATAAATAATTTTTAGATTATGCATTGGACCATTCATCTTTCAGCTAACAGAAGAGGCATACTTGCATTCCAATTTATCTTCAATTTCATTATAATTTGGCCTTATTCTCCTATGTATCTCAGTTCATTTGTACAATTTTAGAAATATACAATACATTCTTAAAAATAAAAACTGAACTAACTGTAAACCATATTGTGGTCCCTTTACTATTTTCAGGCCTTAAACAAGAGATTGTAAAGCTGGATTTAAAAGAAAAGCATAATGCATAAGAAAGCAAATGATAAATAATTTTGTCTAAATTATACCTATACCATTGGGATTTACAGAAATTGTTAGGATTTATGGGAACTGTAGTCCAGTGCAAAACTAATCTAGTGAAGGCATCCTCCTCGTGAAATGACGGATCAGAAGCAATTTTTTCTATCTATAATCCCTACTTAGCAAGAAGAAATTAAGCAATGCGGCTATGTCAGTACTGTAGTAAAAGTCTCTCCTCATTTTCAGATCACTCAATATGGTTCAACTCAATGCCACTAGAAGGGACCATCTAAAAACTATGTATTAAAGGCTCTGAGTGGCTTGGAAAAAGAGCATGCTACAAATATATCACACAATAAAGGCTACCTAAATTTCACTTATATATAAGAATAACGTTGTTCTAAATCAACACTCAACTCTTCAGAAATAATATATAGTGAACCCAGTCAAGCCAAAATTGAACAGTTAGAAGCCATTCTGATTTAGAGAGAAGTTGAGATAGAAGTTACCGTGTGCTTAGATCTTAATAATGAGAACCAGATAAACTTCAAACCTAGGTGTCATTATTAGCTTTTTAAAAAACATAATTAATTTCATCATAGATAGGAAATTTAGAATAAATACAAGGTTTGAAGAGCGTTAGTATGGACTATTCTATTCAAAAACCAAGATACAATGGTATTTTGCTATAAGGGATGAAATATTACAGATTAACCTGAATCAAAATTCCCTCTCATTTTTGTGGGGTTGAACTATTGGAGTTATTGTTGATCCCATAGTACATTTCAAAGAAAACATTTTTTTATTTCCTCCTCTGATCATATATAATTTTTTCAAAGCAACATAAAGTACTCAGATTTAGAGGACAGAAAATATTCAGAATACTATTTAAGATGGTATTTGGAACATAAGACTGGACCTATTCCATCACTATGTTCTCTTTCTCAATTCCTGTCCATACACAATAGATTCTGCATCCCTAACACAGTACCTGAGACCAACTATCTGCTCACTAATATGTTCCTTGGTGCCCATCGTTCTCTCTGCTGAGATGATCTTATTTAGATTATTTTAGTGAAAAAGAGAATGGAAGTTAGCATGTCACAAAGCAAAGCACAGTACAAGAATCAAACATAAGTTGTATTTCCAACAATGCCTCCATGAACCCCGCAAGAATTCCTAGAAAATAGAAAATAAGGTGGAAGATGATTACAACCCAAGCCTTCTGTTGCCTTTGGATAAACCGGTCTTATGTGACTGGTCATCTGTATCAATCATTTTGTGAGAGTACCCACGACACACTCTTGTAATTCTAAATGCGTCTATTAGCCAAAAAAGGTTGGTGATCCCTAGAAAAAATGGAAAGAACTTGAAACAGTATTTGAGCAGGACGCAATGCACTGCTGATACTAATCGAACATTTAGCTCTGCCATTATGATGTTTAAATTCAGCATTCTAAAATCCCCTTACGCAAAGCATGTGAATGATGATACCGCAGCAGCACTGCCGCCAGAGCTCCCTCCCGTTATCAGCCAGCTGGCATCCTCAGGTTGAGCACAGGATGTTGGTGCACATTTTCCTTTGTACTGTCTTGAGTAACTCCAGGGGTTTCGAACTGGCCCAAATGCCCCATCTGTACTTCCAGACCTAAGATGAGCAAGCCAAAAGGAAATTTTAAGAACGAATTATGAATGAACAAGTGGGCCATGTTTTGCCTTTTAAGAACATTTAAAACCTGCTCTAGAACAGAATCATATAGCTCAGTCAGTGGTCACATGTTGATGGTACAGAATCAAGGGCTTCATTAAAATTTAACCAACTGGAAGCCCTTCAAAATAATTTGCTTCCACCTCATGAAATCCATAATAGAGTTCTTGATTATTGTATGAGTCCAGCCATTGTGACTTGTAAACCATGACTTGTGGCTTAACATTTGTGAAAATCCAGCCAATTATGTCTTATTCAGCAAATCATGGTTTGAACCCATCTAGGGTATCCTGAATCTAGATTGTGGAGCTTTTTCTGTAGCCATTAACATCCTTTAGTGTTCAAGATCATTGTATCTGCTGCTAAGCAGAATAGTTTCCAGTCACAGAACAGAACCCTCACTGGATAAATATTACATTTTGGCCACTAAGCTAAACAAACATTGTGTTCAATACTGGGCCTTTGCAAGACAGCTTAAATCTGAGGAAGAGTTTTGCTTCATGGAGGCAACATGATTCTCTTCAAAGCAGAGGCAATGGGATTGGCTTGACGAAGTACTTGTGTCATTTCAAGGCTTCCCCATATCTCTCACCCCTGACACTTACAAAAGTCAGAAAGAGGCTTCTGGGCAGCTGATGCGCCTATGCAGAAGCCTGTTCCAGCTTTGCGAGGTACTGCTGGAGAAGGCTGTGAGGAGATCCCCCCCACCCTGTCCAGCCACACAAAAACCAGAGGCACATTTTACCAAAGCAGCTTAGGAGTCTTCCTGCAGCATGTGCCTTTGTGCCATGGAGCATGTGTAAAATCTAGAAGAGGTTTCTGGACAGCTTTAGCAAGTTCCAGAGGACACTGACAATGGGCTGCAAAGCTGAGCAACTGAAGTGACAGAGACACATCTCTTTCCTCTTAAAAGGAGACAGACATGTGCTTCACAACTCAGTCTCATTTGATCAAAAATCAGGAGTCCGACAACTTCTTTTCAGACTAATGCATTTTATTAAGGCCCATAAGCTTTCATGAGCTACATCTATCATCAGATTTGAGAGAGTGGCTAAAGTGATCTAGGATTTAAACCGGGACAATGTGGGTAGGGGAAGGGAGGGAAGATGAGGTGGTTATGTAGATATTTCTATGTGAGACAGATCACAAGTAATTAATTAACCACTGTAATCTGTTAAAAATCCATTGTTTGTTAGACCTTCAGAGATAGCCATTTGATATAGGTAAGTTCAGTCATCTCACACACAACTGTGTTGGCAAAGTTTCTTTTTTTCAAGATGGCTACTTTGAGATTTGTAATGAAATGTCCTCGGAGGCTAATGTGACTTGCTATTACTTTGCCTTTGTTTTGTGTCCTGATATCAAACTTGTGTTTGACGTTCTTTTGTGCAAAATCTGGCCTAGAAGATACCATGTTAAAAGCTGTACCTTTTCTTCTGGAGATACATAAATGTACTTTAAAATGTCATGCAATCACCCAAAATGATAAACATAAGAGTTCTTGCACTGAAGTCATCTCCTCTCTTATCAGCTCTTCTTCGAAACACAGTTTCTTAAATGTGTGGAGGATTACTGTATTCTGTATATTCTCATTTACTCACAAGATCCAATTATTATAAACCATTAAAACTTTCTTTAACAATAACATTGTATGAACAGATAATATAAGGTATAATTTGTTTGCTTAATTGCAAAATGACTGCCCTAAGCCCTGTCAGTGCCCTGCTCAACAGTCAACTACCTCTTTCCTCTCTCAAACCCTCTCCTTCTCTCCAGGTTCCCCTCACTTTCAGTTGGCCTACCTTATAATGAAATAGCCAATTTCACTTGCTTTATCGCCATACCAGCAACCAACCACCTTATCACAGGGGATGCACCTCTCTAATCACCACTGAAGCCAAACGCCCCTTGCAGATCTGCACATCAGCCCTTGTAGATATACCTTTGGCATGATCCAGGTCTCTCACTAGGTTCTTTAGGCAGCTAGGTAGTGAACCTAGGCCTGAAGTCATAATCATATTGGTGACAGTGGCCAGTGAATTTCTCCCGGGGATCCACTTTACCAGGTTGTTGTTCTTGGGATAAAATGAAAGGAGATCCCCATGTAAATTGCCTTGAGCTCCTGGAGAAATGGCAGCATATAAATCTAACACATGATAAATACATACATACATTTTCAATATGATTAAATAGACAGGCGAGAATCTGTCTGCCCAACATCGGCATAAGGGGAGCTGGTCTGATCCATGTAAGCTTCTAAGCCATCATCATGACTTTGGCAACTAAGCAGAAATATTGAACACTGAAGGCCTTGGAACAATGAAGCTGAATTATATTTAATTCAACTTACCCCATAGCAAATTCATCTAGATTTGTTTTTCCAAGCAGCACAGCTCCTTGATCCAGCAATTTCTGAACTACTGTTGCATTGTATGGGGGGATATAACCTGAAAAATGTAAATACTAGATTGGCTAAGGACTCTATCTTTTAATAATTAAGACTGTTTTACCATTGTGGCTGCATTTTATTAATCTATCTGATTATCACTCTTCAGTCAAGAAATCCCAAGGTGGTTCATAATGATAAACTATAAAATCAGTATCAATAGAAGAGAATATGTGTAGCTCAGGGTTGAACTGCGGAGCCCTTGGGGTTCTCTGAGCTTGGCTGTTTTCTTGCAGACGTTTCGTTACCTGGCTAAGGTAACATCCTCAGTGCTAGAATGGGCTGGGGTTTGCTCTCTGTTTATATACAGTAGCTACTGTATATAAACAGAGAGCAAACCCCACTCCATTCTAGCACTGAAGATGTTGCCTAGCAGGGCAACGAAATGTATAAAATCAGTGTTGTACTTTGAACTACTTCCCACATCACACGAACAAATTTCTGCTTTTACAATGGAACCTTCCTCTCCTCTTCTTCCTACAAAACACAGATGGGGAGAGGTTGCGAAAAGGGATTCAATTCTGCTGGTGGAGCTATTCCATACGCAGGCAGATGCCACTGATACTTACAAGGCCTGCAGTAACAACCACATAACAGCAGCAAGTTTTTGTCTGGAACAAAAAATATAATTGGAGGAGTCTTTCCAAGCAGACTACACTAGTAAGGCACATGGTTTGCAAGACTCCAGTTTCAATCTGTCATCTTGAGACAGGGACGAAGAAAACTCCTCTCTAAAGCCCAGAGAATCTCTGCCACTCCGCATAGTTAATACTGGTTAGGTTAACTAATCTACCTCAATGGCAGGCAGCTTTCTATGTTCCCATGTTTCTACACAAAAAAGCTTTTACCCTCAAGAGCCACTCTTGCCAGTGGCATCAGGAAATCAGCAATTTCGTTCCAAATTAGATGGTACTGGGACTTAATTGCTTGGTATCCTGCTGTTAATGGAGATCTCCATTTCCTGCTTACCTACTGACCATGCTGATCAGTTGAAGACTGGAAAATTTGTCTGGAACTCCCCAAAATTAGAAGGGCTGCATTTTGTGGCCAAATGACAACTAGCAAAGATGTGCATTTTCTTTTTAATTCCACTGGAATTTTTTTCCTACCTTTTTCCATTACATATTCATTCAAAATTTGTAGAAAAATATTATTTTGAATTTGATGAACTTGTGACAAGACTCTGGCACTGCTATCAGAATTATAAAAGGCTTCACAATTAGAGCCCTTTGATTAATGTGAGACAATTGCTCAGTAAGAGACTAAAAATCAGAGATCTAGAGTGTGGGCTTATCTTAAAAAATTCAACTTTACCTTTCAACATCTTGGATGCGCATGTTGTTTCAATACCAGCAGTGCTGAAGTTGTCTTTCACAGCAACAGGAACACCATCTAAATCACCCAGTGGCTGACCTTCATTATGGAAAGTACAAGAATTATTAAATCAGTGTTTAGTCAGAGTTACTTAGGAGTATTTCATATGTAATGGTAAACAAGGATTTTTAAAATACAATATGTTGATTAAGACGTAATGGCTTGATTCATACATCACAGTAAGCCATATTCTTGGGTTTGTATGTCATGCTAAATACAAACAAGACACATCATGGCTTACTGTTGTGTGAACTAGATCTACAACTCTAGGTAAAAATAAAGGTTTAAATTGTTTTGGAATTCCATATTGATACATAGGTCCAAAAATAAATTCTCTCTCTAAGATATATGAGTATCTATGAAAACACAACACCTAATCTAAAAACTGCCTGCTCTCACATGTTAAACTTTTCATGTGGAGTATAACAACATCTAAACCAGCAAATATGTGTGGGTGCTTTACAAACTCAGAAAACCACAGAAAAATAATGTTGCTATAAACAAACAAAACTGAGATTTATCTGTTGTATAAATAAAATAACTCAGTGGAACATTTCTTATGATAATTATTAATTATTTCTCTTGAGGAAAAAATATTATGATCACAGATTATCAATTTTAGGAAAGAACAACTATTTGGTAGACATATCTTACCTTGTCTGTATCTCTCCTCCGATGCCTGAGCTTGTTTTAATGCTATGTCTTCTGTTACTGTTATGTAAGCATTAAGAAACTTGGTAGTTTTTATTAAAGAGAGGCACTTCTGACAAAGCTCTGTTGAACTCACGTGGCCTTTCTTTAGTGCTGCAGAAATCTGAAATGACAATGAAGAAAAAAGGAATGAAACAACTATAACATGAACAGAAAAAGTACTGTAGTAGCTATATGGTGAGAAAAGAACCTATATACCTTGCGATGATTAAAATACATTAAGCACAGCAATAGAGAAAGAAAGGGGAAAAAACAGCTAAAGAAAGAAAAACATCCATATAATATCCATTTAGTATCAATAAAGAATTAATTCAAGCCTTAAATGTATCATAAAATCTAGACCAAATGGAAACGTAATGCTTCATCTTCTCATTTTTAGAACATAAAAATTTTAAAAAATAGGTAACAAATGCATATCCTGAATTCATTCCATAGTACCAGAAGGATAAGTTTCTATTTATGTAAGATTATTCTTTTTGCTGAGCCCCAAGGTCAATAGAACCAAAGCTCTTCATAAACTATATTTTAAGAATAAAGTTTAACATCACATTTACATCTTTAACCTTAACATTTCTTTCCAAGGTTGTATTAACATATGTTACATCTGAAACCAAAACAAAGCTATGGCAGGACAAGACTAAATCATATGAGCTAAACAACTCTCAAATTTCTTGCAATGCCAGCCAAAAAATCTGATGTCCAACCCTTTTTAAATATTCTTTGAGGAGTAGACACAAAATAATATTTTCTGATGAATTAATTTCTTTCTTAAATCACAAGAAATATATTTTATATTTCTTAAAAGCTAGACTACCCAAAACTGGGTATTCCATCTTCATTCCACAGTTCAGATATGTAACTTCATTCTTAAAAAAAAATCCTCATAAAATTGTTAGTTTCATTTGCAGCGCTTGATCCCTCAAGGGTCCTAAGACTGCAGGTATCTCTGAAGTTGCTAAAGCGTTTGGACCATATTAGTCAGTATGTGTTTCATATAGTTATTTATTTAAACAATGTATATGGCATTCATCTCACAAAAGTGACTCTGGGTTGTGTACAAAGCTTAAAAACAATATTACCAAGCAGATTTATATGTCAATCATATTCAGAACACAATCTCTCCAAGTCCTGAAAACAACCATTATAAATCAAGCGATTGAAGGTATTTATTCCTTGTTTGGTCCAGGTACTCCAACAGAACATCTTCTCTACTATCTTCATCTTTAGGTAATTTCACAATGTCAATTTCTCGTGTGAATCTGGATCAAAACTTAACTGCTTACCTATTAATAACGAAACATGTATAGCAGCTTTCATAGGTTGGAAAGGAAGATACCTGCTTAATATACTTGGACCCTAACTAATTTCAGAGAAGTTACATATTTGTAAAGAAGCCCAAAGAGGGCAATATTAAAAAAAAGTTCTTATTTCAGAAAAATATATACAATCTTTATAAACACTTACATGTTTTCATGTATTTATTTCAGTTCTTTGGTCAATTCGTTTTCCTCTTTTAAAAACCATGCTCTGAATGCTTAAATTTGCCTTGCTGTGTAATATGTGATATATATGGAAGCCATTCTTGCTTAAATTTGGTCAGTTTCTATTATGAATATATGCTGTTAATTTTGTCATTACTGCATATTCTCCAAGAGTATTCAGTAAGAGACAAAGAGCATCCTTGACGGGTACCACAATATAACTTGATGGTCAAGAAACAAATCCATTTGTAATTACTTTAGCCATAATGTGAAGATATCAAATTGTAACCCAATCAACAAGACCCAGTGGGGTTCTAGAGAGAGCTTGGAGTTTTCCTTGAGGATCTGTGGGCGGTTCAGCTGAGGCCCTAGTTGCTGCCTGGAATGGGTGGGTGGCTGAGGCCTTGGAGTGTATTGCTCCTATGCAGCCTCTCCAGGTGTGCCGATCCTAGAGTGCACCTTGGTTTACTGAGTAGCTCCAGAAGATGAAGTGCCAGAAGAGACGCCTGGAGTGCCACTGGAGGAAAACTCGAAGTGAGTCTGACCAGGCAAGGGTAAAAGTGCATATTAGGGATTATCTCATAGTGTTAAGGGCAGTATCCTTATTGCGCCTGCTGATAGCCATCCAGCGGTGCTGTTTAGGGTAACTCAGTTCCTATTAAGTAGGGAGGGCCCCTCAGAACATCTATTGGGCCACTGTGAGGATTATTCAAGCTATCTGGTGAATAAAGTTGCTCAGATTTACTTCGACTTGGACTCTGACTAGGCAGAGCAGGCTGAGGTGCCTGGGGCTCAGTCTGGGGGTGTGATCTGGGAAGAGTTTGAGTCAGTGGCTCCTGAGGAAGTGGAGAGGGTTTGCTGTGCTTTCAGCTAGGCTACCTGTCCCCTCCTGGATTGTAAAAGTGGCTAATGGGGTGACACATAGTTAGGTCCATGCCGTGGTGTCAGTCTTTCTTCAAGAGAGGTGGCACCTCCTGCCTTGAAAGAGACAGTGGTGTGCCCCCTTCTCAAGAGGCTGTCCTTGGACCCAATGGTTTTTGACAACTACTGACCAGTCTCCAACTTTCCCTTTTGGGGGAAGGTTATTAAGAAAGTAGCCAGTCTGTGGTCAATGAGAACCCTGGAGGAAATGGACTATCTAGACCCATTTCAGTTGGGTTTCAGGCTGGGATTTAGTACTGAGACTTAGTTGCACTTATCGATAACCTGTGGTGGAGCCAGGATGGCAATGGAGCATCCAGCCTTGTGCTCCTTGATCTCTCTTCAGCTTTCAATACCATCAATTACAGTATTTTTCTGCCCCAGATCCATGTGTTGGGGATTGGGGGCACTGTTTTATGGTGGTTCTCTTCCTTTCTCTGGGACCAGTTCCACTTGGTATTGGTTGGGGAGGAGAGATCAATCCCCAGGCCCCTCCTACGTAGGGTGCCGCAGAGATCTACTCTGTCTCCTGGGTGAGGTCATCTGCCAGTTTGGAGTTTGGTATCATCAGTATGATGATGATACCTAATTGCATATTTCAACCCTGGGGCAGCCAAGTAAGGTGGCCAAGGTTCTGACCCAGTGCCTTTAGGCTGTGAGGGTTTGGATGAGGAGAAACTGTATCTGACAATCCTAACAAAACCAAGTACCTATGAGTGTCTGAACTGCCCAGATCTGGAGATATTCCATCTCTGATCTTGAATGGAGTTGTACTTCCCACTTCAAGGTTGGTACACAAACTGGGGGTCTTCCTGGACTTACAGCTCCTGCTTGAAGAACGGCTGTCAGCTGTGTCTAGGAAGCCCTTTGCACAACTCCATCTGGTGCACCAGTTGCACCCTTTTCTAGAACAGAGGGTCCTTCAGACAGTCACTCATGCCTTAATCACCTTGTGGCCTGACTACTGCAATACTCTCTGCATGAGGCTGCCCTTGAAGACCATCCAAAAGCTTAAACTGGTCCAGAATGTGGCAGCGCAAACAGTAATGGGCATGCCTCAGTATGCCCACGTAGCACCTCTGCTTTGCGAGATGTGCTAGTTGCTAATTTGCTTCTGGGTGTGATTCAAGATGCTGTTTGTTACCTATAAAGCCCTATATGGCATAGGGCCTTGTTACTTGAGGGACTACCTGCCCCCATAACATCTGCCTGATTTGATCCTGCATGGCTGCATGAAACTCCAGATTCCTTTGATTAAACAATGTCATCTCTCAGGACCCTGGAAGTGCACCTTCTCTGTAGCAGTGCATGTCCTCTGGAACAAAGTTCCCCCCAAGATCTGGATGGCCCCCACTCTGCTGTTATTTAGAACAGCCGTGAAGGCCTAGCTTTGTGAAGGCTTTGGCAAGGGACGGTGAGATGTCTCTCTTCATCACACTTGTCATCTTTTTCCCTTTATTTTTTTATGTTTTACTGTAATTACTTTGATTGTTGTGAGCTGCCCAGAGTCTTTGAGAGTTGGGTGGCATACAAGTTTAACACATTATTATTATTATCTTCTTCTTAGACCACACTTCATAAACTCAGTCTGAACCATAACAAAGCCCTTTTCAAACTCCAATGAGACTAAAATAGCCAGCTCTAATTTATCTGTTGCAATCTCCAAAATATCAGTTGACAAATGGATATTATCAGACACTTGTCTATTTTTTTATCAGTCCAGATCAAAATAAATAAATTATCAATGATATTACATTCTGTAGCTTCTTGGCTCATGCTGCAGTCAACATTTTAGTTTCCATGGTAAGCAAAGATACTGGTCTATAACTGGCATATCTGACAGAGTCTTTCTCAGGCTTTAATTTTACTACAATACAGGCCACACAAAATGATGGAGGGAATATAGAATGATCAAATGATTGATTGTAAACCTCTAACACTACAGAGGTTTACAATTATTTATAAATACTTCTACAAGACTTCTATACAAATCCTAAACAATTCAACTGGAAATCTATCAGGTTCAGGAGCTTTCCTCAGTTTCATAGATTGTATTGTGTCTATAATTTCTTGAAATGTCAGGCCTTTTTATCTTCCTGAGAGATCTTTTCCATTTTAATATTTCCATTTCAATGAATTTGCTGTTTAGTTGCTGTTGTCTCCAATTTATATACATCAGTATATAACCCTCCCCAATAATGGATAGATTCTGTTTCAATAAATAAATAATCACTATTGGCCTCAATTCCAGATATAAAATTTGGTTTTTGTTTCAACTTGTGAGTCAATAACTTTCCAGCTTTCCAGATTAATACTTCTGATTAATACCTTTCAAAGAATATTCAAATGGTTTTGAATGTGGCAGCCTCTGTTTTTAACTTTAAGTTTTATAAATAGTTGATAGGATTCATCTGTGGAATTTTCAGCATAAGGCAAAAGTGAGTGTTTAACCATCTTTTCCAGCTGTATAAGATTAAAATTTATAAGTCTTTTTCTGCTGAGGCAATAGGAATAAATGATCCACAAATAAATGCATTCCAGAGTATTAACAGAATGGCAGAATCCCCATATTTACTTGTTTGTTTAAAAAAGAATGAATGTATTTTTTGACATATTCCGCAAAAGAAGGCTCTCTTACAAGAGAAGTATTCAAATACGTCCTGGATTGTTCTAGAATAGATTTTTAAAATTTCTCTTGCTTTTGGTGGATCAAATTGTAGACTCAGTAGGCCCCACTGCGATCTTAGCCTAATGCTCCATTTTAACTACAAATACTAATAAATATTCTCAATAAAAATCATAACATCACCATGACGTGGTAGTCTCTGTGTTTGCAAACATGAATATAATATTATCAGTACATTAAGAAAGGCATAATATACCTATAAATGGCACCATCCCATGCATGAAGGGCCTCCTTATATTCAGTGGGGGTTACTTTTATATAAACTGTACAGGTTGCACTCTTATGTAAATATAAATAGATGGTTTATTTTGTGTGGATTTAGTGAGAAACTATGGTACTTGTATCATGCTGATGTAAGTATCAATTAAGCACATGTATCTATTTAAAAATACTGTATGTATGTATGTGTGTGTATGTATGTATATATATGTATATGTATGTATATGTGTGTATGTATATGTATGTGTGTGTGTGTGTATATATATATATGTATGTGTGTATGTGTGTA